CACTTGAGTTTGCCAGTTGCAAGTGGCTGCATCACCTGCATCACCTGCATCACCCAGATCGTTGTCAACAAGGAGGATGCTCCTGCCGAGGGTCGATGTTGCATCATTGCTTTCTGTGTGGACAGCGTTCAGCATCAGTCCCCAAATGCGAGAAACCCTTGAGTTTGCCAGTGGCTGCATCACCTGCATCACCTGCATCACCCAGATCCTTGTCAACAAGGAGGATGCTCCTGCCAAGGGTCCATGTTGCATCATTGCTTTCTGTGTGGACTGCGTTCAGCATCAGTCCCCAAGTGCGAGAAACCTCGAGTTTTGCCGTCTAAGCGGCTGCATCACCTGCATCACCCAGATCCTTGTCAATAAGGAGGATGCTCCTGCCGAGGGTCGATTTTGCATCATTGCTTTCTGTGTGGACCGCGTTCAGCATCAGTCCCCAAATGCGAGAAACCTCGAGTTTTGCCGTCTAAGTGGCTGCATCACCTGCATCACCCGGTGTGGACTGCGTTCAGCATCAGTCCCCAAATGCGAGAAACCTCGAGTTTTGCCGTCTAAGTGGCTGCATCACCTGCATCACCCAGATCTCTGTCAACCAAGGAGGATGCTCCTGCCGAGGGTCGATTTTGCATCATTGCTTTCTGTGTGGACTGCGTTCAGCATCAGTCCCCAAATGCGAGAAACCTAGAGTTCTGCCATCCAAGTGGCTGCATCACCTGCATCATCCAGGTCCTTGTCAGGAAGACAAATGCTCCTGCTGAGGGTTGATTCTGCATCATTTTGCTTTCCGGTGGACAGCATTCAGCATTAGTCCCCAAATGTGAGAAACCTCGAGTTCTGCCGTCAAAGTGGCTGCATCACCTGCATCATCCAGGTCCTTGTCAACAAGAAAAATGCTCCTGCCGAGGGTTGATTCTGCATCATTGCTTTTCTGTGTGGACTGCGTTCAGCGTCAGGAAACCTCGAGTTTTGCCATCCAAGTGGCTGCATCACCTGCATCATCCAGGTCCTTGTCAGCAAGGATGATGCTCACATGATTTGATGTCATTGCGCCCGCCAGAGCGAGTGAAACAGTTTTGAATCAGGCGCCCATCATGTAGGACGCGATTCCCACTACGGGTTTTTGAATCGATTCTGCATCACCCCTTGAGGCTTGCCGTGCTGACCGACTATGATGAGTCCGTCAGACGCCCGAGGGCTCAGTGGTGAGGAAAGATAAAGTTTGACTTTTCACGGGGCCATTCTCCCTTTTTGGAACCTCCAAAAGTGGTGAACGTTTCAATGGACACCACCAGTAAATTTCAACTTATGGGGAAATCCAGTGATCCCTGTTCCAAACCGACCTATTCCCATGTGAAGTTCTGAGTGCATTATTTTTGCAAGGCTCCACGTTTGGGGTGCCGTATCGGTTGCAGATGTACGAGGGCAACACCTGGAAAGTGAAGCAACGACAATCCTCGGGAAGGCTTCCTGAAAGGTTGAGATGCGGGTTGAATATTCCCTTCGGCCCCCAAATGACCATGAGCAGCTTTTCCCCCATTGAGTGGGTGACATCTTTTTAGTGGGGAAGCCCCAAGTGCTCGTTGCTCTAAAAGGGGAGGTTTTTTGTGCAGTCCTTGGCGGGCATGAGTGTATCCCCCCCCCCCCTACCAGGTGTGCAACAGGTATTCGAGAGACAACATGCACAGCTTGACAGGTTCGGCTTCAAAGAGTGTTGCGCATGTGGTGTGGTCCCGCCAGTTGGTGCGCTGAAGTCAAGTGATTCAGTGGATCGGTCGCTGTGTGCGTGCCTCGGCCGAGCCGCAGATGAGCGCAAGATCCCAGAGAGATGTTTGGCACGCTTGGATCAAGAGCGACTGGTTGACTACGAAGGTCCCCCACATTCAGTGATGATCCACATGATCTGCTGCTAGGTGCCAAAGGGTGCACAATCCCAGATGAAGAGGGCTGCACTTCTTGCCAAAGATAGCCACTTTTTTTGTTTTTCGTCTATCATTGACAACCATGTCCACCCTGCCTCTCTCAGCAAGGCACACCCCAGAATCAAGTTGCACACACACACACATATAAATACATACTATATATAGATATGCAAATATAATTGTTCAATATACATATGTGTACATATACCTGTTGATGTATATGTATGTGTGTACATATTTATATCTGTATATATATAATGTACCCCTTTGCGATCGACCTGCGGGCGGCCTTTTGCTTCGGCATTTGGCAGGCCTACAAGAGGCGACGTCCCTCGCCTCCAAGGCACGCCGGCGCGCTCAATGGCCCGTAGCTCCTCCCACCTGTCAACAGCCGGGACCTGACAGGAAAATGGTCCGAATTAGGACTTAGGACTCTCGATGTCTGTCAGGTTCCAGGTGAAAAGGCTTGGAGGGTAAGTTGTTGTTGTCCGAAAGTCGCCCAGTTTCAAGACACAGCTCAGTTTTTAGGGACCCATGCTATATGAGGTCAAACTAGAGAGTCCATTCCCTGTAATGCATTTTGGTTTTTCTTGGGCCAACGAAAAGTCCATCCCAGGGACCTGGGGCCTACACTCACCTAAAGGTTTCCCTTAGTTTCATGGTTGTTTTTGGGAAACATTTTATCCATTTTTGCAAGTTGTGGTTTAGTGGTAAATCCATCCACTTAACTGCTAAAATTTTGAGAATTTTGCTCCCCTTCCAACGTCAACCAAGGTTTGGGATTGGTCCCAGTAGCTCAAAGCCCATCGACCTTTTGACTTTTTTGGGTCCCAAGGTGAGCACCTACTTCTGGGTCAGAAAGGGGCAACTCAGCGTGTCCTTGCTTCCATTTGCTTAAGAATACATTTCTTAAAAAAATCCCCCTGTTGGTTTTCAAGGGAATCTATCACTAATGCTGGAACATGATTAATAAACCCGCCCTGATTAAAGACGTCCGGTTTCCCCAGACCATTTCCAGGCAATACTACTTTAAAGGCAGCCACAAGGTTTGGCCACAAAAACACCCCTTAATTTTTTGGGGGCAACTCCAACACCCCCTGATTAAAGCCCCAATCTCCCAGAAAAATCCTGAAGCAGCAGACAGCAGCAGCATCCTTTTCCTCATGACTCAGCCCCTCCTCAAAAGCCACAACCTGGCCGCAGCAATTGGAAACCTAAAGGGCTACTACTCAACAGATACTACCAGAAGATTCTGATTGAATTAGGCCAAGGGCTCCTTTTTCTGAAAAGTTTGCATTCCCAAACAGCCAATTTATTTACTACACTGTTTAAGAAATGCAGGTTTGCCAAGGCCACAAAGGGTCCCCCCCTTCAAGGCCTGACCGCCCCTAAGAAGAGAACCCCCCCCTGATTAATCAAGGGGGTCCCTGCCCCTCCTCAAAAGCCACAACCTGGCCCCAGCAATTGGAAACCTAAAGGGCTACTACTCAACAGATACTACCAGAAGATTCTATTTGAATTTGGCCAAGGGTCCCTTTTTCTGAAAAGTTCGTCTTCTAAAACAGCAAGTTGCAGCAGCCTGGCAGCTGATCAGAAACCTCAAGCCTCCAAACCTCAATCCTCAAGCTTCTCAACCTTCAAATCCTGCAGATCAATTATTAGGGGGAGGCCCCAGGGGAACCCCCAAAATCTGATTTTCCCAAACCTTGTCAACCTTGAGGGGGGAGGGGGCGGGTTTATTAATCAAGTTCCACCATTACGGTTTTTTTTTGTATTTTTTCCAGGGGTCTTAACCAAATGGAAGTATGAGGTGTCTTTTTTCGCGGACCTATTTAGCACTTCAGACACTACAAGGGACGTAGTTGGTCATTGGTTTCGACCCCGAACCACTTGCTGGAGTCTGTTTATCGATTTCCTCGGGTTGTCAAGCCCCAAGTTTCTGAGTCTCAGGCGGGCAACTTGGCGCTGCAGGCGCGCGGCTGGATCGCCGCGCGGAGTGGTCTCTATGGCCTTTCTGCTTTCGATGCGCACGAGCCTCTTTCCTAGGCGACCCTTGAAGCCTTGGCCAGTGGAGAAGCATTTGCCTCAAAGTGGCATAGTACATTCCTGAAGCCTCGCAATCGCTTGAGGGCTCTCCCTCTCAACGTATGAGCCAAGCGGTCTATCAAGATGGCACCTTATACAGGGCTCCCCAAATTCCCCCTTTTGATGGAATTGAACATCATCTTTTTGGCCCAGTTGGGGTGAGTGTCCCTTGGGAAGGGGAAATACAGGGACTTGTGCTATCAGCATACTGCGGCGCGTCGACCTGAGCGCGGGGGCATCCTGGAACAAACATTTCCAACCCACAGCCTACCCAAATCCGAGATGCACAGGCTCAACAAGTCCATTGGTAGAGGCAATGCGCACCCGTTGGATTGTACAGGCGGCAACCGGTGGAGCAAGGATAGGTTCAAACCTTCACTGTTGTTGGCATTTTTGGAAGCTGTTTAGGTTTTGTGGTTGTGTTCACTTTTTGAAATGTGGGCTGCAAAAAACAGCTTGTTTTAATACATAGGGATAACTGTTGTTTGCTCACTGCTTCGACAGTCTGCTGGACTCCACTCGCTGACTTGCAGGGGTTCCCGAGAGAAGCCGTTTTGTCAAGCTACCATTGCACCGGAGTACTAAGCCACTTAACATTCAATCACTTCACATAGGGTTCCCCTTGCCAGCAACCCAGCCTTCAGGAATAAACAGTGACTCTTGGCGGGCTGCACTCGCAAACGCGAGGACTACGCCCCAAATGAGAGTTTCTACAAAATGGCAGGCCGTCTTTTGGTTGGTGACGCCTTTTGAGAAGCACCCGTCCCGTCCCATGGTCACAAGTCACATGTGCGAGCCAATTGGGATTGTGCTTGGACCTTGCTAGAACAGAGCCCTTTTTGGAGTCCACTTTTAGCAGCAGACCGACAAAAAGGGGAAAAGGGTTCGGACTGGCTTGGAAGAAGGTGTTTTGAGCGTCACGGCCTTGGTTGGCTGGGGTTGCGGTCAGGTTCGGTGGGTTGTGTCCGCTTTTTGGTTGGTGGGTTAATTGGTTGCCAGATGTCAGCTCAGTTCGTTGCGATGTTCTGAAGGCTTCGGCAAAGTTTAGTCAGGACAGTGAGGCTGTTCCATTTACCAGGGCAACCCGTTTGGATACCCATCTTTGAGCCACAACCATTTTGAAGGATCGGCCTTTTTATGAGAACCCCTCCTCCAAAACATAACAAATGGAGCTTGTGACCCGCCTGCAGGCAGCCATCCAGCGATTCGCAGCGGACGTGCACATCAACCAGGGCAGTTTCAAGGAGGCGCATGGCGGACGTGGAAACTGGGGTCGGTTTGTAGGCTCACTTCTTCAAAGCGAACACCTGTTGACCGTTTGATTGCTTCTTTTTGAGCTTCTCTTACTCATGGCCTGAACATTCTAACCTTTAATTTCTGGGTCCTTTGGGCAACTGAGCAGGTTATTTGGTGCATAGGGTTGTGAACGAGGATAGAAAGCAGATTGGTTTCAAGTCCTCACGTTGCCCTTTGCTGTGACCAAATCGCCCCCTAGTCTTTTTGAACAGAAATGTTGTTGCTCTTTAACCTACAAGGGGTCAGACCTGCTCAGCGCAGCGCAACCCAGTTGGATACTAAGAGAGCCCCAAAATGACATGGGTACCCACATGGTCATGCTGGGGTGTACCATGGTGTGTCGGTTTTGAGGGTTACCCCTTGTTGGTGGCCTGAAAGGTAAACCACAAGGAAAACCAACCTGGGGGGTCCAACCTTGAGAAGGACACGCCCATACACATGGGTCTCCCAGAAACAGAAAGTCAGAACTCAGAACCGTTGCCCCATTCTTTGACAGTGGCCTATGTACAAACATGTACAAACCTGTCCAGCCAACCACAAACTTACATATATATATATATATATATACACATGTTCATACACATGGATGAGTCGATATTGTAAGACTAAATTCACTGCGTACCAAACAAGCCGACCCAAGGACTCCTTGGGCGTGCCTGAGCAAATTCCTCCCATGTAAACGCCCAGTGCGGTTATTACAGTGTGGCCAAGATGTCTGTCTCGTAAAGTTTGGTCAAAGTCGGATACATTTACAACTTCTCGCCCCTAGACTGAAATTTGAAAAATAAAATACATTTCTCCCCCTCCCCTTTCCTGCCCCATTTTTGGCTGAAATGTTGTAAAATAGCAGTTTGGTGAAAGCTCCATGTTGGTCTCGTAAAATTCCGTTGACTCGCGGAACCTTCGCGCGCCATCAGAGCCATGCCGGCGACGGAGCGAGCCTTCTGAGGCGCTCTCGGCGGCGCGGGAGGCTGTGGAACTCTCGGAAAGGCAAGGGGACAAGCCCGGGACCCGGATGGCTTGCTTGAGCCACAGTCTCGAAACCCGGGTAAAGCTGCCGACGTTGGATTCCCTAAGACTGTTGCAAGGAAGGGAACTAGGACCTCACCAAATGAATCAAAACCCGGGTAAATGAAGGTTAGTAAGGGACAATCCCCTTGCCACAAAAGTCTGCGGATATCCGCCTTCAAACAATTCTTGAAGCATGGCTCTGGGTAGACCGTTTTAGTATCGGGTTTTGATTATGACTCATTTCAAGTGAGACCCTGGCCTTTATATAACCCACTTGGTCAGTGGATTCGTTTTCGACTCCGTGGATTCCGCCCCTTGTTTGGATTTGTTTTTGGGGAAGGGTTCCGATTCCCTTGAAACTCAACCAACCCAAAAACTCACTTCCTGAGTTCATGAACTTCAAGCTTTTTGGGAAGACCATTTTAGTGGTAAATAAAAAGTTTGGGGACCTTTTTTGGGCCATCCACTCAGCCAGTGAGAAAAGGATGCCTTTTTGTTCCCATGGCCACTGGGCATTTGAGCATACTCTTCTTTTTGGGTTTTGACCGTGTGGGGTGGTAAATAAACAGTTTGGACTTGTTCATCCAGGCAGAAAGCACTTTTTGGGCTTGGACCATTTTAGTGGTAAATAAACAGTTTGGATACTTTGTTTGGCCAATTAAACGGGTGGGAGGTCGGTGGTTTGGGGGTTAGGGGTGGGAAACCAGTTCAAGTCCCACCAAAGCCTGATGAGAGTCACAGGGGTTGCACCTAGTTTGTGTAGTCCAAAATGCCCAAGATCATATGAGTGTGTCGGGCCAAACTGGCATTGGCTTTCTTTCTGCTTTCCCTTTCACCCCGCCAAACAAATCAGGGTACAAACTCCGATAAAGACGCGCCCCCGTATCAGCAGTCCTTTTGCACAGCTTTGGAGTCTTTGCAGCCGAAGCTGGAAGCTGAAGCTGAAGGGCTGCCTCAAGGGAAACCATTGGCTTTCTGTAGCTCCGACTGAACACTCGAAACGCCCCGTCCCCTGACATCTTTAAGGGCCATGAGTGGACTCATCTGACTTCAACTTGAGCTCGTTGGGCCATCTGCGCTTGCACCCATGTGTCTCGGCGTAGATGAGTGGTCCTCTTCTCCGGGAATACACGTCGATTTGCCTCCAAAGTGAATCCACTGGTTTTTTCTTTTTGGTGTCCCTTTGAAACACCCTCCTCCAAAAAAAGCACCACCCCCCACCCCCCCGCGCCCGCCACAAATCACACCAAAGCATCCTGGCTGCAATGTCCGCTGAGGCGAAACATGGCCAAGGCTTTAGAGACGGTGGGTACTGCTTGGCCCTCAGCTGCCTCGCAGAGTGTCATAGAAATTAGCTACAGGAAATCTTGCACGAAGTTAGCCAAAGACCCAACAACATGAGGGGTTTCATATAGAGTTTCCTGTTGCTGGTTTCTTAGAGAGTGAGTTCTTCATGTCATCTTGTGTGGCCTCAAAGTTGGTTGGTGCGCGTAAATCCTCACCTAATTTTTAATTGGTGTCCACCAAAGGGTCCTCTTTGGGCCCGAAGTTGCGCAGAGGATATCTCCAATGCTTTAAAGGGGTCGAATCCACAATCACGTTCAACCATCGTGCATTTTACAACAAGCTGTTTCCTTGGGCTTTGGTTGGTTTCCTGAAAACAAAAAGGAAACCTGGATTCTTGATTGGAAACCTGGAATTGGATAGTTTTCAGGCTTGATTGGTTGGTTTCTTGGAAGGAACGCTTGGAATCAAGCCCTGGATTCTTGATTGCCCAGGCGCAAGGTGTGCTGAACAACTTCCAGCAGGTGCGGGGACCCGTGCGCGAGCCGTGCCTTTGAAAGATGCCCAGGAGCGCCAAGGACTCGGGAAGTTGGCAGGTCAGCTGTGACCAAATGCACCGCTCCGTAACTCCCCAGGCTTTGACCGGTTGGCCGCATGCGGCAAGATGAGTCCCTTGTTTTGGGACGGATGGTGCGTGCAGCTGCTCGCATTTGCTTCAGAATATGTATTTTCCCCCGGTTGGTTTGATGGAATCTATCACTACTGGAAATACTATTTGTTCCCCTCAAGACTTAGGCAAATGGAGGGTTGGTTTTGTATGTGTGGCTTTGCTTTTCTGAAACAATGCTACACGCTTGAGGTTGTTAATCGTGATGGACCCTACGAAGCGACAGCTTTGCACGCGGCAGACTGCATGTTGGTCAGAGCAAGGATTGTTTGTGCTTGTGCGTTGTTTGTTTTCACGGAAGTGCCTGGACAGCTTGCCTGAAACGAGCAAGCCGGGCTCCCCAGTTTGACAGTCTTTCTGAGGAATTCATTCAGCGTGTCATTCAGCTAGGTGTAAATTGAGTGTAGCCTATGGACAGAAACCTTCCTGGATCCCGGTCGCAGGCGACAACCTCCACGCAGGAGTGCCAGGATTTGTACCAGGACTGCGGTTTTCAGCCATCGGATCTTACGAAGGCAGCCTGGACGTGTTCGATGCGCTTTGCGTGCCAACTTTCTCGCCCCTTTTTTGGTTGGGAGGGTTCCCCTACTAAAATCGACTAGAAAGAAAAAAGTGGGTACCCTTATTCTAAGCTCTCAACTGGAGGACCTAGCTTTGCCAGTGGTTGGCAGCCAAGGAGCTAAGGTATCAATGATTGCCTGAGGAGCTACAAGGAGTTGTGTCAGGACAAACTAGCTTCCAATTTGGCGTCAGCTGGTGTTGTTTGCATGTGCTCGTTTTGGGGCCAAAGGTTCAAAGCTATCAAGTCCGGAGAGGTGTCTCGTAGGAATGTGAGCTGAACCAACAGTCAGCCATCCTGCCGCAACAACAGCGCACTAGAAAACAACGTCGTTTCAGGGGGGGAAATTTAGCTTTGATTCTGGGAGCAGGGTCCCTGAATTGCTGCACCCTTTGTGTGTTTCAGGGGTAGCTGCTAAACCGCTATGAGTACAATACGTGGTGTTTGGGGAAGCCACAAGTGTTCAAGTTGTTTTTTTCGATTGAACTGGAGCTTCCTTCCGAAGTGTTTAGGCAGCTTGATTTCCGAAATTGCCAGCCAGCCTTCCGCAAACATAAAATGCAGGACCGCGAAACAATGACGCCACACGACACAACAAACAAGACACAACCAGCAAGACACAAACAACAACTGCTTCTGGATGACAAATAAAGCTTTTGGGAAAGGCAAGGGTCCAAACAGTTGTTAACAGCAAGCTGGCAGGTTGGCTGCCTTGATGCTTGTTTCATCGCTTCCTTTTTGCCCATCCACGTTTCTTTCTCTGTCATTCGCTGGATAGGCTGTGCAACAAAACCTCACCTTTGCCGTCTTTAGCAGGCTTCACATGCGGCCTTATTCATGAGAGAAGCTCTGCCGGCATCATAGACTGGCATTATTAGAATAGGCCATCAGCCATATGGGAAAGCACTGTAGGCATGACAAGGCTTGCATCAAGGGTAAGCTCTGGGTGTTCCAAATTTTACAGCCTGAACGGAGGACAAACATGCACCACCTTCATTTGAGGTTTCGGAATGCGGCCCTTTTCCTGCAAGGGGTTCCTTGGAGAGCAATCCCCGCTCCAAATGTGAGATGGGTGGACCTGGCCTAAGATCCAATTCTGAGCCAGAGCCATTGCAAGCGGAGCCACGGGAAGGTCCTAGTGTTAGCCACTGATGCTCACAAACGGCCTAATATGGCCTAGCCTTTATGGGTGTGGCTCAAAATGAAACAGGAGGGGTTAGGTTTTGGTCCATGTTTCCACTTATCAGGGTTCCATTTTGGTACTGGTTTTTTGAGCCACAGCCTTATTAGGCTGCAATGGCCCCTCTCGCTTTGGCCGCTCTGCCTGGAGTTTCGCGGCTGGATCAGCCTTATGAAATCACCTCGTGCCCCTGGGGTACTCCAACTATAAGCCTTCTTATTCCCCTTGTGTTTCCCATAGCTTGGTAGCCCCTACTTCAAACAGAGTAGTTTGTGAGCGCGTAGTTGATCCCTAGAGAACCCTAAACTGTTTCTATCATGCTGTAAGAAGCTGGTTCGGTTTCAATTGGGTTCTCGTAAAGGGGTTCCAGCCTAGAGCTTTTTCCACGGTTGTGACCCAGAAGGGTACCAACTCCAAAGCGCACACAACCGCCGGGGAATCCGAGGTTAACGGAGTGTCCTAGCAGCCGGGGTTTGCCCTCCCCGAAAAAAGAAAAACCAAAAAAAAAAGAAGAACAAAAAACACGGGGGGTGTCCCAGTAGTGGAGGGCCTCGCCTAGCAAATAAATTGCTTCATACATACCCCCCACCCTACATTTTTTTTCATCTTCCATCTTCTACCCTTATTCGTTTTCATCATTTTTCTACATTCCTTTCTGTCCATCTCATCCGTTTTTTTATCATCATTTTTCCAAATTTTTTGCAATCCTTTTCTCCTTTCTCCTCGCCTCATTCATTTCACCAACTACCCTCCAAAATGTCATTTCCTCAATCTCCTCGCCTCATCCATTTCAAAAAAATAAATTTTGCAAAATATATTGCAAAAAATATTTGTCATCAAAAAAATATTCGAACTGTCTAAAAACGATTTGTCCATTTCCCGGACAAAAAATAGAACAGCAACAACATCACTCCCTCCTTTGTTTCATCAGCTTCATCATACATTTTTTAGGCGTGGCCCGCCTTGTAGGATTTTATCTTCAATATATAAAACGCTATACTTACATTATAATTATAACATATAAGGGTATAAATGTTATTATTATAGTATGATTAATAATTATGGGTTACATTTATAGTCAGGAAAAATGTCTTCAAATATGTAATCTACATATTTATCAATATCGCCAATGTCTATATATTTGATATTGTCTTTTCCTATTATTGAATAAATATATTCCCAGAAAAACAAATTAACTAGTAGCCATACTTGATATTTAGTGTTGTATAGTAAGACCATACATGATATTTAGTTATTCTAAATTCATTCAAGACCTCGTTTATTTTATCTTTACTTAATAAATGCCAATCAATCGCATCAAACATGCGTCGAAATTTTTTAACAAATGCTTTATATGGTTTAATTGCGTTTGTCCCTCCAAACCTCTTAATTAAATCTTTATTATTAAAGAACTCATTAATTTCTTTTTCAAATGACTTTCTAGCAATTTTATGGTAAAAACATACAGGACATCGTTTTTGATATTTCATAAAGAATTGCAATTGTAATTGAAACTTTGTATATCCCTTATCCTTATGTTCTTCAACAAAAAACTTTTCAAGGTCTCTTGTTATACAGCATTGATTACAATATACATCATATTCACTTATTTTATTACATAGATTAGCAGGTAATAACTTATACAATGTTGTATTAACATCATTCCTTTTAGTTGTACAACATTCGCACTTTGAATAATTAAATAACATTTCTATTATAATATATATTATTTTTATTTCTTTAAATACTTTTTTACAAGAAATAAAATTACATATTGAAATATAATTATAACATATAATATTTTACATGTTATTATTATATTATGATTATAATTTCAGTTCAGGATAACTATTTAATTGATATGTTTTACTTCTTTCATACATCATTTTAAAAATAAGATTAATATCTCTCACTGTATTTTTCACATTAAACTTTTTGCTTTCAATATATGATTTTATGACTTTGTTTACATCAACGCCGGGTTTACTATAATAAATCAACATCCATAATATGTCATTAATCATTTCACACTTTTTCTTACTGATTTTAAGAAACTGTTTAACATAATCGTAAGGTGGTCTTTCATACACAGTTAAAAATATCAATATTTCATCTTCAACATTTCTTTCATCTATATTTTTAAACGCCAAACAATTTTCTATTATATTTTGATATCGTCTCCATCTTCTACAAGTTCTACATATATTTTCTTCGTCCAAAGAATAATCAATAATATTATTAACTATTCCATTAGGTAAATTCAATTTATATAATTCCATATTTTCTTTTTTAAAGTGGCAACAATCGTAGCATTTCTTATTGATATAATTATTGATTTCGGTTTCAACCATTGCTATTATAATATATATAGTGTTTATTTATTTAAATATTTTTTTACAAGAAATAAAATTAAATATTGAAATATAATTATAACATATAATATTTTACATGTTATTATTATAGTATGGTTATAGGTTAATTTCAGGATAATAATTTAATTTGATATGTTCATATTTGGTAAAATTATGTTCATGAATGTATTTTAGTATGTCATTAAATTCTTTCAGTTTACTTGATGGTACAAAATGTTTTAAACGCGTAGGGTCATGTAAACGACTGTTAAATCCAGATCTGTATTTCTTAAACCTGCTTGGTGCCAAATTAAACTGTAGCTTTAATTCTTCTTCCTTTGGGAATTTATATAACTCATTAAAATAGTATACTGTAGAGACACCACTAAAATATCTATTCGCGTGGTCAATTGTCTGGTTCAAATGAATGCAGTTATCGCATTTGCATTTACGTTCTCCATATTCTTTGATTAACCTAATGGCATTGAATGGCAACTTCAAATAAAGTAATAGTGATGAATTGTAATTATGTTTGGATAGTTCGTGTTTGAGAATCTTTTCTGTTTCATTTTTGTTTAAGTCATCCAAGAATTTATTAATAATCTCTTCTTGCTCTTTCTCTGTAAATTCAACCATTTCTATTATAATATATATAGTTTTTATTTCTTTAAATACTTTTTTCCAAGAAATAAATTTATACCTTTAATAACTCATGTCTCAAAAATGCCCTGTCATAATTTTCAATATAATAATATTCCTGTCCTAACTTCTTTTCAATCTTTGCTATTTTGTATGTTTGTTTAGTCCATACTCCTACTCTCTCCTTTTCATTCGGTCTCCTTTTCCTGAATATCTTAACTTCATTTCCTACATTTAAATCTGGATAAACTCTATTTCTTTTGGCTTTCATACCTAAATTTAAACTCACTTCTAATTGATGTTTAGGCTTTCTTGCTTCTGACGGTGTTAAGCCGTGCGAAGTGTGCTTTATTCCATTGTTATAAGTTAATATAATCTCGTGTATGTAGTCTGTCCATTGAATAGCCTTTCCTTTTTTCTCATCGTTTTCAACCCTCTTATACAAGCTATCTTTAAACGTCCTTATTGCCCTCTCCGCAAATGCTGGGTGACCTCTGGTTCTATGTAATTCTACTTTTTCATCTTTCAAAAAATCTATAACACTTTGATTGTTATAAGCTCCTTCATCGTCAATATAAATTAGTTTGGGCTTTCCACCCATTTTTTTAATACATTCCATCAGTCCTGCTAAAATGTCCGCTGGCTGTTTTGACATAAGCGGGACAACAACCATATACTTAGAAAATATGTCAATACACATCATGCCAACTTTCATTTTTTGTTTAGGGATATCATTAATGAAAAATAAATCAA